CATTCTAAAGGAAGAAACTACGGGGATGAGCTGGTCATGCTGAGAAGACAGGGTTAAGCAGAAGAGGGGAGAAGAGGGGGTCAGGGACTGCTATTTTAGGTAGATTGTTCAGGGAAAAGCTCCCTTGATGAGGTGGCATGCGAACAAAGACCCAAAGTAAATGAGGAAGCCAGCCCTGCTGCTGTCTAGGGAAGAATGTTCCCATAGTGGGGAATAGGCAAGCGTGAAGGTCTGGGAGCCGCAGTGCACTTGGCGTTTTCAGGGAACAGTTGAGAGGCCAGCGTGGCTGGAGTGGAGAGACTAGGTGTGAGTAATGGGGGTGAGGCCAGAGAAAGCTCAGGGGTGGTCCAGGCCATCAGAGGCCCTTGACTTTCACCCGGCACCCAGTGGGAAGTCCTGAGGAGTTTAGATGAGAGTTCTGGCTCCTCTGACTTATGTGTTAATGGGTTCACTCCAAGGGACAAGGGTCAAAGCAGAGAGACCAGTGAGTGATCAAGCAAAGGTGGGCCCCGAAGAAGCTCCTTTCTACCTAGGGGTGGGGGAGAGCAGGTGAGGAGGAGGAAGATGAGAAACTAAAGGTATCAAAAAAGAAGATCCAGATAAAGAAGAGATGCAGGGGATTCCCTGGCAGTCCAGTGGTCAGGACTCTGCATTTCTACTGCCAGGGGGTGGATTACAACCCTCCCAAGAGGAAGGATTTTCAGATAATTGACAGGGGAACAGGCAGCACTTANTGGCACCCCACTCCAGTACTCTTGCCTGGGAAATCCCATGGACGGAGGAGCCTGGTGGGCTGCAGTCCATGGGGTCGCGAAGAGTCGGACATGACTGAGCGACTTCACTTTCACTTTTCACTTTTCTGCATTGGAGAAGGAAATGGCAACCCACTCCAGGGTTCTTGCCTGGAGAATCCCAGGGATGGGGTTGCACAGAGTCGGACACGACTGAAGTGACTTAGCAGTAGCAGCAGCACTGGCCTTTTGCAAGTTAGGAAACATCTACTCTGAGCTTTGATAGTAGTCACATGTCAAGATCTCAGTATCACCTTTACCTGGCTCTCTTGACCTCTTCTCTTCCCATAATCCCTCCCTGGGTTATGTCATCCGAGCCCAACGACCAGTGTTCATCTTTTGATGTTGAGGCCCCCCGTTGCTGTTATATCTGGTGGTGATCACCCCCACAGGCTCCAGATCTATGCTCTAACTTGGCATCTCCATTTGACTTCTCCACTTAGATTCCTCACACTGGAAAATCCAAACCATAAGTCTCTCTTTCTTCCAAACTTGTTTCCGACCTGTCTTCCCCAGGTCCCTAGTTTCTCAAGTCAGAAATCTTGAGAGAGTGGCACTGACATATATGCACTACCTCGTGTAACATAGGTAGCCAGTGAGAACCTTCTGGAAAGAGCAGGGCGCTCAGCTCGGAGCTCTGTGATGACCTACAGGGGTGGGATGGGGGAGGGGAGGGAGGCTTAAGAGGGAGTTATATATGTATATATATATATAGCTGATTCATATCATTGTACAGCAGAAATTAACAGAGCATTGTAAAGCGACTATACTCCAATAAAAACAATTATTGGGATGCTGGGAAAGATTGAGGGCAGGAGGAGAAGGGGAACGACAGAGGATGAAACGATTGGATGGTACCACCAACTCAATGGACGTGAGTTTGAGCAAACTCCAGGAGACAGTGAAGGACCGGGAAGCCTGGCGTGCTGCAGTCCATGGAGTCGCAAAGAGTCAGACACGACTGAGCGACTGAGCAGCAACAGAAAAAGAATCTAGGCGTCATCCTTGAGTCCTCCCTTTCCCTCAGCCCTCTCATCCATTCTGTAAACCGTTGGGAATCGACCTCCACAACGTCTCTGGAATCCATCATTGTCTCTCCACCTCCTCCGATGCCCCCGGTGGCTGCCCAGTGGCCTCTCCCCTGCAACGGCTCCTGGATGGTCTCTCTACTTCCTCTTCCCCTCACCCCTACCCCTGTGCAGCCCAGTCCCTTCTCCACCCAGAAGCATGAGAGACATTCTTCAAATGGGTCACTTAGAACTGCTTGGAACTCTCCAATAGCCCACCATAATTCTTGCCCATGATCAACTAGGCCCTGCATGAATTGGCCCTAACTATCTCTGCAGACCCACGTGGTGGACTCTCCCCTGAGCTTGCCTCAAACACACTGTCAGTGTCCTGTGGCTGCTGTGACAAATGATCACAAACTTGGTGGCTTCAAAATGACAAAAACTGGACCTCCCTCAGTCCAGAGGGCTTCCCTGGTGGTTCAGAGAGTAAAGAATCTGCCTGTAATATAGGAGATTGGAGTTCGACCCTTGGGTTGGGAAGATTCCCTGGAGAAGGGAATGGCAACCCACTCCAGCATTCTTACCTGGAGAATTCCATGGACAGAGGAGCCTGGCAGACTACAGTCCAAAGGGTCACAGAGAGTCAGACATGACTGGGTGACTAACACACACGTGGTCCAGTGGTTAAGAATTCGCTTTCCAATGCAGGGACACAGGTTCGAACCCTGGGGGAGAATCCCACATGCCACAGGGCAACTAAGCCTGCACACCACAAGTACTGAGCCCGTGCTCCCAAGAGCCCATGCTCTGCAACAAACGAAACCACTGCAATGAGAAGCCCACTCGCTACAAGAGTAACCCCTGCTCGCCACAGCTAGAGAAAGCCCATGCGCAGCAATGAAGATCCAGTACAGGCAAAAAAAAAATATCAATCTTTTAAAAGATGACGCAAATTAATTCTGTTTAATCCTGGAGGTCAGAAATTCAAAATGGAGCTAGAACCAAGGTAGTTGCAGGACCACACTCTTGTCAGAGGTTCTGGGGGGAAATTTGTGTCCTTGTCTTTTCTTAGTGACTTCCCTGGTGGCTTGGAGGGTAAAGAATCTGCCTTTGAAGCAGGAGACCCAGGTTCGATCCCTGGGTCGGGAAGATCCCCTGGAGAAGGGAATGGCCACCCACTCCAGTGTTCTTGCTTGCAGAATTCCATGGACAGAGGAGCCTGGCGGGCTACTGTCCATGGGGTCACAAAGAGCTGGACATGCCTGAATGACTAACGCTTTCACTCACTCACTCTTGTCTCTTTTCTCAAGCTGCAATCCCTGGCCCACGAGGCCCTTTCCTCCATCAAAGCCAACAGTATAGCATCTTACTTCAGTGGTCACCTTGCCTTCTTCTGGGCCGTCTGCCTTTGTGTGTCATATGAAGACGCTTGTGGTTGCATTTAGGGTCTACCCAGATAATCTAAGGTAATCTCCCTATCTCAAGATCTGTAACTTAATGACATTTTTTAAGTTCCTTTGCCACATAAAGCAACATTTTCAGGTTCCAGGGATTAGAACCTGGCTATTGTGGGGGAGGGGCATTATTCAGCCTACCACACAGCAAGCTCTCTCCCATGACAGGATCTTTGCACAGCTAGCTCCCTGTGACTGGAATGCTCCCCCTGACCCCTTCCCCCTTTGCATAGCCAGTTTCTTCTTATTTGGAGGCCTGTCACCTCCTCACAGGACCTGTCTCTGACCAACCCCCAATCTGAAGGGTTCCCTCTATCCTGAACCTCCTTCCTAGCACATGCCACAGTAGACCTTATTTTATATATTTTTCAGCTTATTTGTTTTCTGCCTGCCTCTCCCTTCCCCCTCCCCATCAGTGCCTAGAGGATGGGCATGGTGTCCGTCTGTTTTGTTCAGATGAATCTGTAATCCAAGATGGTGACATGCAAATGGGCTGCTCTGTCTAACCCTCTGAGAAGGCAGCCCCCTCCATCTTCCTCCTGATGTTCTCTATTTGAAAGAAAGGTCTGGGCAAAACCTGATGCCACAACAAAGGGAACTCATTTCTATGGGTTTCTGTAGCAGTTCTATAGCACTGTTTACAACAGCCAAGACAACCTCAATGTCCGTTGACAGACGAATGGATAAAGAAAATGTGATATATACACACAGTGGAATATTAGCCATAAAAAAGAATGAAATAATGCCATTTGCAGCAACATGGACGGACCTAGAAATTATAGTAAGTCAGAAAGAGAAAGACAAATACCATATGCTATCACTTATTAATGGAATCCAGAATATAACACAAATGAACATATCTACAAAACATAAACAGACTCAAGGACACAGAAACCAGACTTGTGGGGGGCAGAGGGTGGGGCAGGGATGGAGTAAGAGACTGAGGTTAGCAAATGTAAGCTATTATATATTGAATGGATAAATAACAAAGTCCTAATGTATAGCACAAGGAACTATTAATAGTTTATCCTGTGAAAAACCATAATGGAAAAAGAGTATGTACATATATGTTTAGCGGAATCATTCGGCTGTAGAGAAATTAACACAACGCTGTAAATCAACCATACCTCAATAAAATAAATTCAAACAAGCAAAGAGAACCCACACACATGCTCTTAATGGGGAGGAGCCCAGGGAGATGCCACAGTATTTAACCAACCTGACATACAGGAAACCATTCAAGGAAGCCGATTCCACCTTGATGAGCAGTCACCTGAGTCCTTGCTAATTAAATTCAGCTAAGAATTACTTCACCAAGGCCTACCCATGAGGCTGCTTGCAGAGAACTGTTCCCCAATCTTCTCCATCCTTCTCCCCTGGAGACACTTGGAGAGAACGCAGGGAGGCCCAGTGGCCTGCTTGCATCTCTCACATTTGTGTTTCAGCTGGGACACTGTGAGGTTCCTCTATAGCTTAAAACTCCATGCTGGGCTAGACTTCTCTAAACTGAAGCCAAACGTGTTTTGATTGCAAGGCTATTTCTAAACACTGCTTGTGCCTTAAGCAATCAATTATCTGGTTGAAACATCTTGTCTCCTCCCTTCAAGGAGAAAACTGTGCTTTGATATGTGATAATGGTAAGAGTATTTTTAAATACTTCATTGTGTTTGGTCACAATGAAGATAGCTTTGGTGACTCAATAGTTTTATCCTCCGGGATTATTTACAGCATAACATTCATGGTCATTTTTTTTTTTTTAATAAAATCATGAACTAGGGAGAATAAAACAAAGTGGTTTATAAATATTAACCAGTTCTTCACAAATAACAGTGTTGAAAATAATAACACTTGCACAGCACCTAACAGTTTACAGAAGCTTCTGAAAAACTCAGAGAAAAACATCTGCGTTATAAGGAAGGGCCTTTGATTTTGACCTGTAAACTTTTGATCTATAAATTTATATCCTAAAGCAGCCTGGCACAAACAAAACCAAACCATCTCTTATGAATATATTTTGGAAGTCTGCCACCAGAGTTCAGTTCACAGGCCTCAGAGACCTGGTGGGGCTGTTCAAAATTCTGGCCTAGGTTAATTTTAAAAGTTGCATTTGGATAAGGAGTTGTTCCCAAAGGTTTAACTGAAGAGTAATTGATTTCTAATGGAAATAATAGTCCAGTTGTTGGGCAGTCATATTTTTCTCGAAACCCTAGAATGTCTTGAGGAACACATATATGTCACCTGTCCCCTTTTGATACTGCCTTAAGTTCCAGAAGGAGAGCAGGGTAAGCTGTAGCCCCTCCCACCCTGGATGGGGGGAGGGTTGAGGGGGATGGCAGGGTGGGAGCAGGGCCAGGGTACTAAGTTAAGATCAAAGGTGAGAATGCCTACATTCTGAATCTCAACCACAGAGGAAGTGCCATATGTAGGGTCCACTACGAACCAGACGTAGAGAACAACCTGATGCATGACCATGAGCTGAGACAAAGCGAACAGTTGCTTCCTGAATATCCCTCCCCACGGGGAGCTCTCCACACCCATAACTACTCAGTGGCATCCGTGAGCCTCACTGACCCATGTCAGCGTGACTTGAGACCAGCCCCATCCTGTACAGGCAGGCTGCCCCTCTTCAACATCCCAGGATTGAATCTTGGCAAGAAGTTGATGGCAAAGGTGGGCTTCAGTGAAATCTACTCCACAGGGCACGGATGCGCCTTCCTCTGTGAGAACAAAGGTGACCTATGGGGTTGGCCCTGGGCAGGTCCAGGTTCCCTCTGAGTGGGCTGTTCTCAGATGTCGTCCCATCCTGGGGTCCAAACCCATGGCCTCCTCCTAAACACACTGAGCTGAACGCTGGCCCGGAGACATCAGAGCAAGAGTCTGGTATCCTGGTGGCTGAGTTTCTCAATTTCCTCCGGAGAGAAAGTGTTTCCTCGGAGCCTGAAGGAGATAAAGCCAAGAGAGGTTTGAGTGAGGACGGGACCAGAGCCGTGCTTTCGATCAGGAAGCTGCTGCTTTGTAAACCTGTAAACCTGTGCCTGGATGGCCTGCCCCTCCCCACCCCCCACCCCTGCCACCGCCCAGCTGCAGTTCTCCTGGGAGAGCTGTCTGTGCAGGTTTTACCCTCTGCCAGCCAGGGCAGCTCATGAATCACTGTGCATGATTTAACAAGCCTCCGTGACTCTGCAGAGTCCACACTGGGCCCAGCCAGCCCTGACTCTTCAAGGCCGGCCATTCTTTTTAAGGCAACAGCAGAAGCTGTCAAGAATGCAATGAGCAAGTCCCAATGTCCTCCCAAGCTCTGCCAGTAACATCAGAACCCTTAAAATATCAACCTGATGTCGGTTTGCTCCCCCTGGACACAGAATGTGACATTTCTCAGAATTGTGCAATGGTTTAAAAAAAAAAAAAACAACCCCATTCTCTACCCAAGATCGAGGACCTCACAGCCTAGAGGGATTACACAATCGCACAGAAAAGAAAATCTCTCTATCGCAGGACAGATTTTTAGAAGCCTTTATTTTTAACTTCATGATTTGATAGCTACAGTTGCTACTGCCTTGATCTGCTTTTTGAGAGAGGGACAAATCTGCATATTTAAAGCAGGGTTCAGGAGCTTTCAGGGACGAGGCATATAATATACAGCAGCCAAAGGGAACTGGTCCGAGACAGTCAACTCGATGGGGTTGGGGGTGAGCCTGAGAAGGTCTGCCTGGCTGAACGGGGTCAGTTCGTCTCTACTCTGCTTAATTACTGCCATTCTAAATCGGGGCCCAGAGTTGCTTTTTTGAGAAACCTCTGAAAGATAGAAAGATTGTAGGGAAATGTCCTCGTTTTTAAATATTGATTTCTAGCTCAGTGCATGAAACATATATAGTGACATTCACTCATAAACTGTTAAACCAGGGGAAATCTTTCTATTATCTGAGCAATACATAGATTCCTGGGAAGGAGAAGGAGAGATCTTTGAAGTTGTGATGCAATACGTTTTTCAAATACATGAAGGAACATGGCTTTTTGTTACCAATAAAGACTTGGAAACACTGTGTGACATCCACCTAGAACTGCAGAGGGTCTCATACTGCAGCCCTGACCCATGAAGTCAGATGTAACGGCCGATGGGGGGCAGGAACAGAGTTCCTTTCTCTGTTTCCCTTTTCAACCACACCCCAAATCCCACACGATTGCCGAAAACAGAGACGTTTCTGAACAAACACAATTTAAAAACGAGACAGTTGGTCCCTGCTTAGAAACAACAAGACATCTTTCCCAGGGAACCAGATTCATCCCATGCAGAACAGGACTGAAGGTCTGAGTCACAAGGGATCTTAGAAATTCTAAAGTTCCTCTCTCCCTTCACCTCAATTTATACATTGGAAACCGAGGCTTGGAGAGGTTAAAGAGGCCTGCCAGGGGTCTTACCAGACTTCCCGAATGCTGTCATTCTTTTCAAGGGCCCGCACGAGGGCCTCTGCCCCAAGGGAGGTGATGTGGTTGTTAGACAGCCTAGAGAGGAAGACAGAATGGTGAACTTTGAGGAGGCTTGGTCTTTGGCTAGTTTATCCAATTAAAGGAGGCTTTAATTGGACTCCTGAAGCCCACTTGCCCTTTCAGCATGTCCCTTTCCTGTCTGAGATTCCCAATGAATTCATCCTCAAAGTGAAATGTACCCCTCTCTCCTCCATTCACCAGATGAGTATTAAGTAGCTGCTCCCTTAGGAAGGAGCTAACACGGTAATAAAAATACATGCATTTTAGTGCCAGGGTTCAAATCCACCTTACACTACTTCTTTTTTTCATTTCAAGCAGATAAGTCCCAATTTCCTCATCTGTAAAAGGGACCTAAAAGAGTACCCACTCATGAAATAGAAGAATTAAACAGATAGCTAGTAGGAAGATGCTATATAGCACAGGGAGCTCAGTTCAGGGCTCTGTGATGACCTAGAGGGGTGGTATGGGGGAGCGGAGGGAGACTCAAGGGGAGGGGGAGTATATGCATACATACTTACACGGCGTATGTCTGAGCCCCTGGCGGCTCAGATGGTAAAAAGCATGCCTGCAGTGTGGCAGACCTAGGTTCAATCCCCGTGTTCAGAAGATCCCCTGGAGTAGGAAATGGCAACCCACTCCAGTATGCTTGCCTGGAGAATCCCATGGACAGAAGAGCCTAGCAGGCTATAGTTCATGGGGTCGCAAAGAGCTGGACACGACCGAGCTACTTCACATGCTGTGCTGTGCTTAGTCGTTCAGTCATGTCTGACTCTTTGTTGACCCCATGGCCTGCAGCCCACCAGGCTCCTCTGTCCATGGGGATTCTCCAGGCAAGCATACAGGAGTGGGCTGCCATGATGCCCTCCTCTAGGGGATCTTCCCAACCCAGGGGTCAAACCCAGGTCTCCTGCGTTGCAGGTGGATTCTTTACCAGCTGAGCTACCAGGGAGGCCCTGTGTATACATACAGCTGATTCACACTGTTGTACGCAGAAACTTACTCAGCATTGTTAAGGCAGCTATGGAGTACAAGACCTAAACAGATAGCTAGTGGGACGCTGTTGTATAACACAGAGAGCTCAAGGGTCCCCGCCCTGTCTTCTTGCTCACAGCTGTCCTTCCAGATAACCTGTACAACCTGGCTTCCCCCTCGACAATGTCAGGAATTTCCGAGATGCTGACCTAAGGCAGGGCTAATAATAACATCAGCCAACATCTGTTGAGCTCTTACTACGTGCCGCTCATAACCTACATCACCTCCTCGCATGTTCGGAACCCTGTGAGGAGGGTTCAACTATTACCCTGTCTACACTTGAGGCAACTGAGTTACCAGTCCAAGTAGGAACTGTTGGTAATGGTGGAGCTGGGGCCAAACCCCGACCATTAGGTTCCAGAACCTGTGCTCTTAACAAACGCTTGGCAGAGATTATGCCTAGAAGGATGTAGGCTTTGCTTTTCTTTTTTAAGATCGGTGAGAAGCTCGACTTTATGGGGAAACAGTGGAGGAGGATACAGTTCAGCGATGCTGAATTGTAAGACTCCCACCGAGGCAGCGTGGAGCCTGGCGGCTGCCATTGCCTAACACCTGTGGGGGTCAAGTGGGGTGAGCCTGTGACAGTGACGGAGGACAAGTTTGCCTCATCCGCACCTGGTCAATCATCAACCAGGTATCGCCAAGGGCCCCTCACCATGTGCAAAGCCTGGCATCCCAGCTCAGATAAACCTGGGCTTCACCCAGGTCCCCCGAGCCCCAGCGTCACCCACGTGATGAGTGGAAGTGTTTTCCCCAAACATTTGGCAACTTCCTAGCCCCTGCGGAGCAACACAAATAAGAGCTGCCAGAGTGGATGGCGGGCTGGCAGCGAAGCAGCCGCCCTCCCAGAGGCAAGCTGTCTGCCTGTCTCGGGAGGCGAGTGTTTCCCTGGGCCATGTCTGCCAGGGCAGAGGCCACTCTCCTCTAGAGAAAGGAGCCATCTGTTGGTGCCCTGATGTCCCTGGGAAATAAGACCTTTGGTAGCAAGGCTGGTGTGGCGTTCCACGAGCCTGTGGTGACCACTGGCCGGGCTCCTGCTCACATCTGCCATCCCTCTCCTTGGGGCATGCGTCCTTGCCCACTGAGTCCACCACCAGTGGTCCTGCCATCACTTCCCCGGCCCCCCAAGGGACCTTCCTGAGCTGCTGTGCCCTGCTTCCCTCACTGCCCTCACCCTGACCCAATCTCCATCTCTGGCCTGGAAGGATGCAGGAGTCTCCTGGCTGGTCTCCCTGCTTCCATCTTACCGTCCCTCCACCTGTTCTGCACAAAGCAACAAGCATGACCTTTGGATGATGTGAATCATATTACATGACTGTCCTCATTAAAACCCTGAAGGCTCCTCAACACCCTCAGAATAAACTCTGAGCTCTTTCCCAGGGCTCTAAGGCTGTTGCGGCTGGCTCCTCCCACCTCCGCCTCACTCCACCATCCACTATAGTCTAATCTCACAGGTCCTCCTTCTGTTCTCAAAACTACCAAGCCTGTTTCTGCCACAGGGCCTTTGCACTTGCTGTTCTGTCCACCTGGAATGCACATCCCTAAGATCTCAGCATGGCAGGACCCTTCTTATTATTCACGTTTCAAGTCTTTTGTCACCTTCTTAGAGGTGCTGTCCAGCAGCAATTACCTTGCCCTCTCCTGTCATCCTTCTCTTGAATTCTCTTGAGAGTGCATATTACTAACAGAAATGATCTCACGTATTTGTTTACTTGCTCATTATCTGTGTCTCCTATTCAAATTTAAGAGCTGTGTTAGCAGGGCCTTTTCATCCGTCTATCCTCAGTGCCTCAAACAGAGCTCGGCACAGAGTGGGAGCTCCGGAAACATTTCTTGGATCAATATATAAAAGGATGCATGCACATATGAGTAAAAGCAAAAATGCCTGTCTATATACTAATCACACACCAAGAGGAACCACTGGAGATGACCATCAGAAATCTCCTGTCTAAGTAAGGGAAGGCTCCTGGAGAGGCAAAAGGGCATGTCCTATAAGCCACGGAGCAGATGCTGTGGGCAACCCACCCCTATTTCCTCAGCTCTCACCTCTAACTCTTGCTTGCTGAGGAGCTGCTTGCTGGGGAGACCTCCACCCTCTGTAGGAGATCTTTCTGCAGAACCCAGGAGCATGCTTAACCATGGTCAGGGCAAACCAGAAGCACCGGAAAACAAATATCCCCACAAGTACACCTCAATACATGAAGGAGAGACAGTTGGTGGATAAATACCCCTTGCTGCCTCGTGCCCACAGGATTGCACCCCACTGGTCCCCAGTGATCACCAGCTTGATGACACCCTTTTCTGGTTACTCTCCCTCCCCAGCTTCACTTCACTACTCCTTGCCTGCATTTGGGAGGACCCCGAAAGACTGTTTTCTAGCGGGCCACCTTGTGTGAATTAGCCAGGCTGGGAAGCCACCCAGATTTCTTATTCAGAAACACCCCCTCTCAAGGCCAATCATTACTGTCTAGCTCCTGCTTACAGATTCCTTACTTTAGGACTTTCAAACTTGAATTTCTTGCAAGTCCTTTGGCGAGGAAACACACACCTTCATCCTGGACGTGGTTCTCCTCCAGGCTGGCAAGAATAAAGGAGAAAACCCAGTTGACTGGCGACGTTTATTATATAAGATGATGCCAATAAAGACGAACCCATGTGCCCCACCTCTGCCGATTAAGAATATCCAACATCTGAAAACCAATAAAGTAAAAACAGGTCAAGCAAAGTGTAAGGGTCCTCAATTTCTGGGACATCTCTGGGAGAGAATTTGCTCCAGGGCTCCTCCACAAAAGTTCCCTTTTGTCCTAGTGACTCAAGATCCATTTTCTGCTTCTTTCTTCTTAATGGAAGCTTAATTTCATTTGGAGCAGCCATGTGCTTGGTGGAAGAACTACATTTCCCACTCTCAACTGCAGCCAGAGTTGGCTAAGGGACATCCACATGGCCATCAACACATAGGAGAAGTTGACAGATGGGGACTCTGTGAATGCTCTTTAAAGTGGAGAGACCCAGGCTTTTGCCCTTCCTAGATATAGAGGCTGAAACTGAAATACAGGAGTGCTGCAGGTGCTGCAGCAGCCACCTTGTAACCATGAGGCAACCAACCACGAGAAGAAAGCCACATGCTGAGGATGAAACAGATCAAAATGAGAGAGAGTCCAGACTCCTCCTGGCCATATGTAGCTGCCATAACAGCCATATGCTGCCTACCTCCAAACTGCATGTACATTAAATACTGATTTAAGCCACTTTAGATGGAGGTTTTCCATCTCGTACAGCCTAATGTAGTCATAACCAATACATTCACAGTGAGACAATTCTCTAACAAGAATTTCCAAGCTGTGGAATCTGATCAGGATATACTCAATGGTACACTGGCTAAGCTAGTGAGCCCCACTGACAGTCAAGGACCATCAGTAATATCCATTTTGTGACAATGCTCAATCAGTTTCAGTACCTTTATGCTTCCTGGGGAAAAAAATCAAACATTCAGCATTTTATCTCCTTGATACAATTTGGAACTGCCCAGAATATGTCATAAGAAGGCTAAACTAGTGGCATCTAAGGGATGGAAAGCTTGGAATCCGGATAAATATGATTCATGGTTCATCTTTTAACCTCCCCCAAACTACTCCGCCTTGCACATGACCCTGACTCTCATATCCAGGGTTCTTAGGCACCCACATTCACCTTGAAATAGCGAAACACTAATAGCAGTGGCAGCAGCAATCATTGTGGCAGTAGCACCAAGAGTAGTAGAAACATTTGCTGTTGTTCAGTTGCTAAGTCGGGTCTGATTCTCTACGATCCCATGGACTGCAGCATGCCAGGCTTCCCTGTCCCTTACCATCTCCTGGAGTTTGCTCAAGTTCATGTCCATTGAGACACTACCCTATTACAATTTCACATTTATGGAGTGCTTACACATATGCCAGACACTGTACAAAGCTACTTACAGGTGTTATCTCATTTAATTTTTACAGAAGTATTTAATAGTTGAAAGCATCCATACTCGTTTTACAGGTAAGAAACATGAGATTCAGCGATTGTTACTTAACTTGCTTAAGATCACAGCAGGACTTGAAGCTCAGCCTGCTCTTTTCCAGAGTCTGTGCTCTGAACTATTACGCACCATGGAGGAAGCATACAAACCAACAAACCAATCAAACTGGTTTGAAAAATTCAATGAAAAGAGTTAGCCAGGCTCTATAAGCTTCATGCCACTTAGGACAAAGACAAACACAATCACCCAATCACTCAGTCACCCATCTTTGTCTTACACACACAACAGCTTCCACAGATGAAGCCAGAGAATGAAAAAAGGCTAGTGTCTGCCTCCCTAGAGAGATGAATCCCTTAAACTCACCAGAGTTCTTCCAGGGCCACATTCTTTTCCAACATCAATGCTAAGGCTTGAGCACCCACGCTGCCAATGTTGTTCCCCACCAGGCTGGATGTAGTCAAAAAACAAAAATATGTCAGAGCAGTGAGGGACTTCAAAGATAACTCAAGAAGGGAAAAATGCATGGCACACACTGCCACAAGTCCTGGTCTGCTCCATTTCAGACTAATCGATTACAGTGCTCTTTTTCATTAAGTCCAGAAGCAGTGTTTTAGAATCCTTCCCAACATGGTTTATTGAGCAGCTCCGCCTAACAGACTGCAGTTGACTCTTGAGATAAAGTGTAGCTGATCCAGGGCTTCCCTGGTGGCTCAGTGGTAAAGAATCCACCAGCCAACGCAGGAGACATGGGTTCAATGCCTGGTCTAGGAAGATCCCATATGCCCTTGTGTCACTATTGAGGCTGTGCTCTAGAGCCCCGGAGCCGCAACCACTGAACCCATGTGCTGCGACTACTGAAGCCCATGTGACTTAGAGCCCGTGCTCCACGACAAGAGAAGCCACTGCAATGAGAAGCCCGTGCACTGCAACTAGAGAGTAACCCCTGCTCTTGACAAGTACAGAAAAGCAACAAAGCAACAAAGACCCAGCATAGACTAAATAAATAAATGATTTTTTAAAAGTGTATCTGATTCAGGGCTTCCCCAGTGGCTCAGTAGATAAGGAATCCGCTTGCAATGCAGGAGACACAGGAGATTTGGAAGACCCAGGTTCAATCCCTGGGTCGGGAAGATCCCCTGGAGGAGGAAATGGCAACCCACTCCAGTATTCTTGCCTGGTGATTCCCATGGTCAGAGGAGCCTGGCAAACTATAGACCATGGGATCACAAAGAGTTGGAGATGACTGAGCAACTAAACTATCTGATCCAGCCCAAGATCTTCCGAGTACAGATAGGGAATCAAGACCCTTGAGAGGAAATGGGACCCAAAGTCACCCAGAAAGAACCAGTGTCCTGACTTCAACTCCAGCGCTCTTTCTTCTCATCCTACTGTCTAACACAGCGGGGTGAAAATGAAGTTCACAGACCTTCAAAACTGGCCCAGGCTCCTCCCTCCTCACGCTGGCTTCCCCCATCAACTGCAGGACGAACTCTGAGGCTTACCTGAGCCACCTCAAGCTCTGGTGATCACCCAAGGCTGCAGCCAAGGCCTGGGCCCCCTCGTCACCCACCTGGTTGCCCCAGAACCTGAAAGGTTCAATGGAGAAAACAGAGAGTGTCAGTGAGAACCTGCTTGGTGTTTGAGACACATGCCCCACCTCTCTGCAGTCCCAGGCAGAGGGGCAGGACTCCCCAGTCCCAGAAAGGTCTCAGCGGGGACTCAGGTCCCAGCAAAGTGAGCCTGCCTCCATCTTTCTGGAGGGATGGCCAAACTTCAATTAGACTTTTTAGTTTCTTTAAATCAGACTTTCAAAATATGTACCCAGTGCATATTCTCAGGGATGGGGAACTCATTCTCAATGCCAAGGCACAGTTGTGACATTTTTTCCTGACATTGGGTCAGACATGCTTCTGCTCACTGCCACTCAAGAGTCCCTAACTAGGGACCTCTAGGACCACCCAGAACAAGGCGAACTCTTCCACACACCGGTTCTTCATCTCTCACTCCTTTGTCACATCCCCAGTTCCTTCGTAGCCTCCAGCTCTTTCACCTTCTGGCTCCTCCTCCCTAGGCCCTCTGTAATTGGGAAACATGCCTTTCAAAGATGGAGCCCAGCTCATACCTTGGCACCTGGCCATTTCCCATGTGGGAAGTTAGGATGGACCCAGAGGTGCCCACGTGGGCAGAGAGGGCTGGGATGCTCACTGCACTTTCACTCATAAGGTGAACATTTACTGAGCTCTGGCCCCCTGCCAGCACCGCTCTGCACTCCAGGGTGTGCCACTGTAATAGCACAAACCCTGCCCACAACCTAAAGTGCGCATGAAACCAACGAAACACATCACAACATCAAACCACTGGAATACTAAGCAGCTGTTTTTTTCAAAAGTGAGGTCATGTGATATGAACAAAACACCTGTAATAATACAGTGTTAGGGAAAAAAAGCAAGTTACATAACTGTGTATCATGTTATAGTGCTTGGGGGTTTTAGCACAAGACCAAGCCCAGACAGGTACCTTCATAAATAGGCGTTGAAAGCTAAACACCCCAGATGTGATCTCAAGAAGGAAGGAGCTCAGAGGGGCCGAGGCCACCCTCTCCCTGACTCTGTGATGCTACTGATGCGTTTTGGACAAAGGCTTATCTCTCCAGCAACAGAGTCCCACTCGGGGCTCAAACAGAGCTGGTGGGCAACTTGCCTGCCTGTAAAATGGGTTGGAACACCCAGGCCCTAAAGTCATTCTTCCTACAGTCTTGGGTTCTAAAATCCCCATTTTTTTTGTTGTGTGTTTGCTTGTTTGTTTTGTTTTGTTTTGTTTTCGAATAGACCCTAGTTTACACCAGGGCAAGATAGGACAGGGAAGAGTCTCCAGGGGACTGGACAGGTACAACCCTGTCTGCCCAGCAAACAGAGAAAGCCCCACGCACGGGCCCAAAGGTCTGTGGACTGCCCTTCCCGCCTGTGTCTGACCCCTCTCCCCTGCCTGGCATGACCCCACAGGAAGCCAGGGCCCTGTAGGACCTGGTGCAGCCTCCTCCAGTCCAAGGTTCAGGGTCCAAACTTCCCCACTTCCTTCTCTTTCCTTGACTCTCAGCCCAGGCTGCACATCATCTGGGGCGCTTTTTTACATTACTGATTCCGGACCTTGCATCTAGAGAATTCATTGAATTAGCCTGGGGCAGATAGTGGCCTTCTTCAGGAGCTCCCCAGTGGTTCCCAGGTATAGACCAAGGTGAGAAGCACAGCTCCAGCGCCCTGGAGGACCAGAGGGCTTCCTGCCACTGCACGTGGGCTCTGCCCTCCCCCAACCCTGACATCCTGAACTTCCTGTTTATTGAGCAGAAAGCAAGGCAGAGGCAACAAGGGCCGCCCACGCTCTCCCTCCCCATGGCAGCCTGGGCGGGGGATGGAAGGGGGGTTGTCTCAGAGATCTTGGGGCTGAAGAGTTGGCTTCACCTGCTCCTAAATCCTCACAAGTCCCCAACCCCTGCGTGCTGCCCCTCTGCCCCAGAATCCCACCTACCCCAAAAACTGCAAGGAGTTGTTAGTTCTGAGCCCCTGGGCCAGCACCTCGGCTCCCGCGGCCGTGATGTGGTTGTTCCCCAGCCTGGAAGGGAAGACAGAGGAAAACTGAGACAGAGAGCAGGGCAGGAGGACCCTTACTGCCTCCCCAGACCCGGGTCTGGGGAGAGGGGTGCACAAGGAGTGTGGCCCAGATGGAGAAACAGGGAAGAAAGGGTGGGGGACCTCTCTGAAGGGCGCAGGAACCAGGCCTCCAGTTCCAGCAGGAGACGCGGTGTGTGCTGCTCCAGCTCAGGGAGCTCACTGACTGCTCCTGCGACTTCTTTCTCCACCAGCAAAGGGAGAGGCCTGGGAGAGCTGGTTTTGCAAAGCACTGCGACAGGCAGGAGCAGGAACCACAACAGTCCAGGGAGGCGGCTCCCCCAGGGAGGGAGAGTGACTCACTCTTCCACCCTCTCCTCTGACTGCGGGCGGGCGCTGGACCCTGCTTTCCTCCCGCAGCCTGCCCCATCCCTGGTGGCTGCGGGTGGCATCTACCTGTTTTGAAAGTGCCTTGGTGGGGGGGGGGGGGTGGGCGCGGAGCTGGTGGCTGAAAGTAAGAAAGGGATCCTGCTAAGCCTTCGGGCAGAGGTGGAGGACGGGGCTTCAGCAAAATTTGGGCACCTCAGAGAGTTTCAGGGAGGTCCCCGGAACTCTCACCCACAGCTCCAGGCTTCCTGGAATAATACTGCCAGTTTCATCTTTCAAAGAAGTTTCATTCACTTTAAGCTGACAGACCTCTGACCTTGCTGGGTAACCAAGGGCCCCAGTTGCTGTGCTGGCAAGTCCAGTGCCCCCCCCTTCCCCAAGGCCTGCTTCCCATGGGCTGCTCCCAGCCAAGGACTGGGAGACCTGAGCCTCCTGTCGGGCACACTGGCTGGAGGACTCCCCAGAAGCCTCTGTCTTCTCCCCAAACTGCACTGGGGTCTAAGATGCTTCCTCCTGACAACCCTTCCTTCCCTCTCTCCCTCCTTCGGGGTCTGGCCTGCGGCCCTCCCAGCCTCCCCCTCCAGCCCCCTTCCCCAATTTCCCCCCATAGGCATTTCCCCCGGCAAATTTGTTGCTATCTATAATCCCTCCTTGGAGGACTGGACAAACAGGATCAACATGCTGAGAATTTATGTGATCTATCCACCATCTCTCGGGCACTAAGTTCTGGGATACTCTGCCAGCTTTCTATGTATATTAACTTGCTTAATCATCACAGGGCTTCCCTGGTAGCTCAGCTTGTAAAGAATCTGCCTGCAATGCAGGAGACTGGTTTGATTCCTAGGTTGGGAAGATCCCCTGGAGAAGAGATAGGCTACCCACTCCAGTATTCTTGGGCTTCCCTGGTAGCTCAGCTGGTAAAGAATTCATCTGCAATGCAGGAAACCCTGGTTCGATCCCTGGGTTGGGAAGATCCCCTGGAGAAAGGAAAGGCTACCCACTCCAGCATTCTGGCCTGGAGAATTCCATGAACTTACAGTCCATGGAAAGAGTTGGACATCACTGAGCGACTTTCACTTTCTAATCATCACAACTACCTATGAGTTATGAGCTATAATTACTTTCTCCATTTTATAGAAGGGAAAACAGAGACACAGAAAACAGAGGTCACTGTGTGACCCAAGGTCACACAGCTAATGAGGATTCAAGTCTCAGGGATGCTGGATCCAAACCTTGGTCAGTCTGACTCCAGAGCCCCATGCACTCAACTGAGGTGCTATATTAACCCAAAACACAGATCTCTCAAGTTCTGGGAGTGGGAGCAGCAGCTTTTGCTACCTTACAGCCCTCCCTGGAGGTTGCACCAGCCCAGCTCTGGCCACAGCTGCTCTTGGCTTCCTGAGCTGAGGGTAGCAGGTGGTGGAGGCAGAAGAGAGTCCTCAGTACAGAATGGTACCTCTGGTGTTGGCTTCAGCTGCCCTGCCCAAGACTGAGTCAACAACTTTAAAATGTCAGCTCATCCCCAAATGCATGGAAGCAATTCTTCACTTTGAAGCTGAAACTCCAATACTTTGGCCACTTGATGTGAGGAGCTGACTCACTGGAAAAGACCCTGATGCTGGCAAACATTGAGGGCAGGAAGAGAAGGGGGTGACAGAGGATGAGACGGTTGGATGGCATCACAGATTCAATGGACATGAGTTTGAGCAAACTCCAAGAGATGGTAAAGGACCGGGAAGCCTGGCGTGCTGCAGTCCATGGGATCACAAAGAGTTGGACACAGCTTAGCGAATGAACAACAACCCTGCCTCATAAACCCAGGAGGCAAGAACATCTCAGAGAGAAAAAGAAGCCAGGCCAACCAGTGGACCAGCTGGGGGGATGATGCAACAGTGTCAGATGGGAGAGAGCTTCCAGTTGAGGCTGAGAGGGTGGGGAGCAGCAGAAACTTGGACTTACCAGACTAGAAAGTGAAAGTGTTAGTTGCTCAGTCCTGTCCAACTCTTTGTGATCCCACAGACTGCAGCAGACTCCTCTGTCCACGAAATTTTGCAGGCAAGAATTCTGGAGTAGATAGCCATAGCCTACTCCAGGAGACCTTCCCAGCAGAGGGGCTGGAGCCATGTCTCCTGCATTGCAGGCATATTCTTTGCTGTGTCAGCCAGCAGGTAAGCTCAGCACTGGACCCACCAATAGAAGGACTTTCTGAGAGCTTTTTGGCAACTGGCTGCCTCTGTGGTGGCAAGTGACTGCTGCATTCCTACCCTGACCCAACATGTGTTCAATGTACCATCAGGGAATGGGTCATCCCAGAGAGCCAGTGACACTCTGAGACACAGGGAAGAAAAAAGGTCCTGGAAACCCTCCTCAGTCCTGGGAGCTAAAGGTCAAAGGGCAGGAAGCCTCAGTAGCATCGGTCCAGAGTTTTCTGGGGAGGTCACAGCATGAGTGAATCCCTGTTCAGAATGAGACACTGTCCTTGTTTTCAGCGAGGTGAGGTCATATGCCCATTATGGGGCAAGACCAGACCAAACTGACTCAGCTGTGGGGATGAAAGTCTCCAGGAGCAGGGAAGCCCCAGGCTCACCTCAAAGCCAAGAAGTTCTGCTTGCACGCAAGGAGCCTGGCCATGGAGTGTGCACAGCCGTCGGTCAATTTGTTGTTGAACAGACTGGAAAGTTCCAAGAGAGAAGAGACGTGGAGATAAAGCATAGCGGACAGTGACACCCCAACCCAGGGTAGCTGCCACCCTCAAGAGTCCCCTGTGCCCTCTGGCCATGCAAACTTCCCAGCCCGTCACTCACTCACAATTGCTGCCCAGGCCACATGGCTTGGGCTGAGTCTGGGGACACGGGACCCAACGTCCACAGCCTGACTTACGCTAACTTCTGCAGCTGCTCACAGCGGAGAGCATGTTCAACCAGCTTGCAGATGCCTCGGTCTGAGATGTTGTTATCTCGCAAGCTAAACAAAGACAAAATAAAGAAATCTGAACACAGAGTCAATGAAAGAGGGGAAAAAATGAACAAAATCCCCAAAGAGACTGTTGCTTAACCCTGAAGTGCCAGCCTCTGAGCTACTGGGAAATGCTGCAAGGACAGAGCACCCCAGAAAAGTGGACACTCCCCGGATGCCCGGCCAGGGTGCTAATGTCATGCACTCGGTGGGGTGAAGGGCTTTGGAAGTGGGGACCCAGAGTCTCTACTAATGAACACTGGAATCCTTAGGAAGGCACTACCTAATTGCAGGCACAGTTTCCAGCTTTGTAAAAGAGAAAGGAGCATCGCAAAAGCTCCGAGGTGAGAAGGAGCATGGGGAAGGCACAGGGAACTAGACAGGCCACCGCTGGGGGTCATGGTGGTTACCACCATCCAGGCGACCAGATAGAAAATCAGACAAGAGCAGCTAAGACTTTGGAAACAAGCAAGCACCCTATGTCAATACTCCTGCAAGCCAGCCTCTGCCTGGCAGGTTCCTTCCAACATTTCTCTTTGGGAACAGTGTTCCCCAAAGCTCACCTGATCACAAGATCATCATATAGTGCTCCTAAAATAGACTCTCTGGCCCCTTCCCCAGAACTAGTGAGTCTGCAAGTGTGGGGCAGGGCTCAGGGATCCGTGTGTTTTATTCACTGTGCTCATGATTCTGCATCTTTTGGTCAGCTTGGGGCCTGACTTAAAGGTTAACACCTCAAGCTCTCTGGAGTCCCTCAAAGAAGGTTCTGATCCTGGACAGTCACCTGACTAGCTATTTGCTGGTCCCTTCACTGGTGAAAAAGGAAGGAAGGTAAAGTGAGCCTCACTGGGCTCTGGTGGGGATTTAAAGAGACAGTACACATAAAGCCCTGTGAGCACCTGGCACATAGTAAAACCTGTAATCTGATTGTTCAGACATATGGAGCACGTTCCAATAGTACTGATGTTTAATCCTCTTTAATCTGATGAAGTAGGTACTATTATGATGCTCATGAGAGAGAAGGAAACTTGCTGAGGCCCAGCAAGCCGAGTGACTTCGCCAAGGTTGCACAGGGTCTAGAAGATTGGAGCCTAGGTGTTCCAGCTCCGCGTGTGTGTCTGTGTGTGTGTGTGTTCAGTCGCTCAGGCTCAAAGTCTCCTGTAAACCACAACATCATACGGCCAGCCTCTCCCTTACGGCCTGCTCGGGGCTCTAAGGTCAGATTCTTGCATGGGTGGGTCACGAAATCAACTCTGAAGGTCTGGAGCAGCCTTTTTAGACTGGAAACAGAACAGGAAGGAAAAAGAGAGCAAAGTGTACCAGGGTTAGTAAGAGAAAGTCATTTTGTGAAATTTCAGTTTGACATGTCTGGGTGCTTGCTTACCCTCTCCTTCACCATGGGGTTGTGGTCCGACAACTTTGAAAGCCATGGCCCTAGTGTCAGAACCAGGGTCTCAAGAAACCTGCATGCACGGGGCCCCTTGTGCACGGGGCTCCTTGGAGCCTGAGGGTTTCGGTTGGCATGGAGACAATTTGGAGTGGGAGAGACACAGTTTGGCACCATGGGAGAGAACCCTCCCTCTCTCTCTTCCCTACTTCCTTCCCTCCTGTCTCCGTCTCTTTCCCTCTCTGCCCCCCTCCCTCACTCACTGTCTGTCTGTCTGTCCCTCTACCCACAGGAAATGCCCACTCAGCAGGCTCACGGCTGCTGCCTGCCCCTCCCCCGTAGCGATGGCGGTTTCAGTACTAAAGTGTGTGCAGGGCAAAGTGTGGTGGAACCTGGTCAGGGACTTTCACTGCGAATGGAAATTCAAGCTGGTTCCCACAGACCAGCAGTCTTCACAGTGTGGCCTCTGAACCTCTTACAGCAGAATCACTGTTAAAAACTTAAATTCCAGGGCCCCCACCTCAAACCTACAGAATGAGAATTTGAGGAACAGGCCCAAGAACCTGCATTTCCACAAGCCCCCTTTGTCTGAGCACTAGAATCAGACCATCCTCATCTTTCCCAACCCTTCCAGGCCATGTGGGAATCACATTTCCCAGCCAAGAAGGGATCCATTCTTTCTAGGGATCCATCTACTGAGGATCATCCAGACCAGAGGCTCTTGACCTCTTGGAATTCAAGGACCCCTTCAAGAACTATGGGTCCACTATCCATAAAAATGCTCGTTCATATTTCTATCAAGAAAACAGCTCCCACAGACAGGTCTTGAAATTCCTGAGTGAAAAAAAAAAATTAGGATTCCTCCTTCCTAGGGAACCAGAGAGTGTGCTGCCATGTCCCAGCTATCCAGCCAGACCCACTCTCCCCTTCTCCACCTGGCTGTCAGTCCTGGGGGGCTGATTCCTACAGACACCCTGACTGGGGGCTCCCTGTGGGTTAAAGCAAGAGTGAGGAGGAGAGGGAGGGCCAGCCCTTGCCCTTCCAGGCTGCTGCCGCCTCCATCCTTCCAGGCACACCCACCTCCCAGCCAATAACTACTCGCCCACCCCCACCCCTTCAGGCCTTGCTGCTGGTGTTCAGTCGCTTAGTGCCCGACTCTTTGCAACACCATGGACTGCAGTACGCCAGGCTTCCCTGTCCATCACCAACTCCCAGAGCTTGCTCAAACTCATGTCCATTGAGTCGGTGATGCCATCCAACCATCTCATCCTCTGTCGTCCCCTTCTCCTCCTGCCTTCAATCTTTGCCAGCATCAGGGTCTTTTCTAATGAGTCAGCTCTTCGCATTCAGGCCTAAGGAGGCTAACAGCCCTGTCCCTACCCCACCCTAGGCTCAGGAGCCTGCATCATCCCTCTCTTCCTAACATCCCATCTGCTCTTCCTAACTACTGCCCAAGCTTTTGTAAGCTGTCCCTTTATTAAACTCTCCTCAAATCACCCAACAGCTTCCTCCCTATATATTCATATTTATCATATATATTAACTCTGTATCATATACACATTAGGGGCTTCCCAGGTGGTGCTAGTGATAAAAAAAAAAAACCTGCTTGCCCAATGCAGGACACTAAAGAGATGCGACTTCAACCCCTGGGTTGGGAAGATACCCTGGAGGAGGGCATGACAACCCATTTCAGTATTCTTGCCTGGAGAATCCCATGGACAGAGGAGCCTGGTGGACTACAGAGAGCCAAAAAGAGTCAGACACGGCTGAACCAACTAAGGATAGCACAACACATATACATATCAACTCTCTGTGATATGTTATATGCTACATTTAGAAACCTATGTCCTTGATAACAAAAGCCACTACACAGTTTCTAATAGATATCCACGTACTTGCTCCACAGACAAAAATGTCTCCCTGTTTTGGTCCAGGGAAAGGTATGTCACCCTAATATAGTCAAGGAGAGGTTTGTTCCTTGCTCAGGGTAAATATAAGGTCCCCTAGAGTAGACATAAAGCCCTGGAGAGGCTGCGAGTCGATTGTAAGTTTAAGCTAAAACTTCCGCTTTCTCAGAGGTTTAAAACAGGGAGCAGAAATCCCCTTTCAAGTCTGGAAAGGAAGTTGGGAGCCTGCAGCATACTGGCCACCTGACCTGGGTACCTCTCTGCCCTCATCTGGCCTGTGGGTGCACAGAGGCCCGCAGGGGCAGGGCACAGACGTTCCTAAGTGGGAAAGCTCACAGCTTCAGACGGGGGCTGAGAGCAGTACAGCCAGGTTAGATCTCTCCACTACACAAAGAGTTAAAAAGCAGGTGAAACTCTGTGGCCACTGTCTATCTCTTGGGTCTCCAAATTTCCATCTCATTGGGATTTGGAAGACTCTCAAGGGACTATGGGATTAACAGGTGTGCTGTGCTTAGTCACTCAATCACGTCCAACTCTTTGCAACTCCATGGACCATAGCCCACCAGGCTCCTCTGTCCATGGGATTCTCCAGGCAGGAATACTAGAGGGGGTTGCCAGGCCTTCCTCCAGGGGCTCTTCCCAACCTAGGGATCGAACCCAGGTTTCCTGCATTGTAGGTGGATTCTTTACCATCTGAGCCACCAGGGAAGTACCCTACCAAATATAAAATAAACAATAAGGATTTACTGTATACCACAGAGAACTATATTCAATATCTTGTAACAAACTAGAATGGAAAAGAATAGGGAAATATACAGACATATATATATGTATGTATGTAACTAATTACTTTGCTGTATACCTAAAACAAATACTATATTGTAAATCAACTATACTTCAATTAAGAATAAGTTAATAAATAAAGTTTTAAAAATCAAAATGAAATCTCTCATGGGGTGTAGTCACCTCTGATTTGAGGGTAGTTCCTAATACAGACACATATTACACCAAACTTTGCCTTTGACTTCAAGGCTGCCATGGTGCCTCTGAAGCCCATCCATAACACGGGTTGCTTGTGGGGAGCTGAGACTGGTAACGAGAAAGCTGCCAACTGTGAATCCCAGTTTTGCCATTTCCTGTGTGATCCTGGACAAGTTACATTGCTTTGGAACCTAAAATCAAGGATGCTGGGGATAATAAGGGCTTCCCAGGTGGCACCAATGCCAATGCAGGAGACAGAATATGTGGGTTTAACCCCTGGGTCGGGAAGATCCCCTGGAGGAGGACACGGCAACCCACTCCAGTATTCTTGCCTGGAGAATCCCATGGACAGAGGAGCCTGGAAGGCTACGTTCACAAGGTCACAGGATCAGACAGAACTGAAGCAACTAAGGACGCATAGCACAGGGATAATAACATCCCTTCCTAGAGCCCAGGGTGGTTGTGGGGATTAAAGGAGGTAATTCTGCAACTTCCCTTGCGGTCCTGTGGTTAAGACCGCATGCTTTTTACACAAAGGATGTGGGTTCGATCCCTGATCAGGGAACTAAGATCCCACATGCCTCACAGAGCAAAAAAATATTTTAAAATAAATTAAAGGAGGTAATTCTGGGGAAACTGAAATTCAGTGTCTGACAGTCCGGCCATTCCATGAATTTCGACTATCATTATCATAAGTTGAATCTAAGGTGCAGACTGGGGAGGGGGTCTCGGCTGGGTCTTTGCACACAAGGGGCTGGGCCTGGACTCCTGGCTCCCAGCATAAAGGGGGCTCCCCTACCTGCACCAGGATGGCAGCATTCCCACAGAGCCCAGCCAGCATCACCCAGCATCACTCACTAAAGAGCTTTGCAGACGCCCAGGCAAGGCAGCAGCTGCTCCACGCCGATGTCGCCCACAGAGTTGTGGTCCAGCTGCAGGGCCACAGGCCGCCGGAGGTGGCGCAGCACGAAGGCCAGGGCGGCACACTCGGCCGGGCCCACACTGCAGAAGGTCAGCTTGAGGTGCCCAACGTTCAGCCTGCGCGCTGCCTCCCGCGCCAGCCGCTCCTCCTGCATCTCGTACAGGCTCCGGATGAGCCAGAGGAAGCCGGGCAGGGCGTGCATGCTCTTGACCTCACCGGGCACAGCGGATGGGATGGAACGGAAGTGCTGGCGGAGGCTGCGGGTCAGACACCGCCGGACACAGTCCCGGCGCCGGAGCAGGGCCGTCTCAGAGGCCTGGCACTCGGCCAGCAAGCTCCGGTGCTCCTGGGACAACAGCCCCACCAGGAAGGCCCCTGTGATCTGGAGGTTGTGTGACTCGGCCCCCTGCAGCAAAGCGGCCACGCTGCCCTCTTTGCATCGGGAGCCCCGCAGGAACAATTTGGGGAGCATCCTGGCCAGAGGCGAGCTTCCAGGCCTGTGACCTTGGAAGAGATGTCTAAGCGAGGATGGCGGGGTGTCTGCACAGAGGGCGAGGTAGAATGCAGCAAAAAAGCACTGGAAGGTGATATGCAGGAATTCCAGGGGGGCCGTACTCCCGGCTACAACCCTCTTGGCACGCACCAGGAAGCCAAGAGAAAGGTCCTCACTGTCGACGTGTGCCGCCTGCAGTTGTTTGGCTGAGAACACGTAGCAGCACGTGCCCAGGCCCCAGAGAGCCAGGCGGCCGAGGTGCAAGAGCGTGGGGAGCCTGCCCTGAATCAGGCTGGGTCCCAGACCATGGGTGGCTAAGGGTTGCGGGGAGGCGTGCAGCAGAAAGTGCCCCAGGATCAGCAGGTACATATCCGTGGTGGTCTTTGGGGACCCCTGGCCCTGCAGCAACAGTTCCTCGTGACATTTGGACACCATCCAGGAGAAGACGGGCAGGTGGCACAGACCATGCAGGGCCGAGGTGGCTCTGAGCAGGCAGAGGAGGCGGTCGGCCACCCCAGGCTCGCGATGCCGCTTCCTCAGGTACAGTTCGATGCCCTCTTCCGAGAAGCCCTTGAGGTTGAGTTCGATGCGCACGTGCTTTCGGAGGCTCGCGGATACCGCGCCTGGACGGCTGGTCAACACCTTGCGGGCGTTCTTTAGCAGGTTGCCCTGCAGAAGGTTGAAGAGCAGACTTTGGACTGACGTGGGGGTGGTCGGACAGCAGTGACGCTCCCGATCCGTGAACCTGAACCTGAATTCATCAAAGCCGTCGAAGGTTAAGAGGATGCGTTCAGGGTGGTCAAGGAGGACCTGGAAAACGTCCTGGGGGCCGAGGTCGGGCCAACAGCAGTGTTCGAAAAGCAGCGTCCGCACGCACAGCGGTTTCGCCAGGCACTGCAGCTGCCGGCAGCTGAACGGGAAGACAAAGAAAAATTCCTGGAAGGCCCGCCCCAAAGCCCAGAGCAGGTGCAGCTGTTGCAAGAGTGTGCTTTTGCCGCTGCCCGCCTCGCCCACCACCAGCACAGTGTCTGCCTCTTTGTTGAAATGGTCACGCGTGCTGAAGAGCTCCTCCAGGCCTAGAGTGGTAGGGCTCTGCTGCGGCGGTCCAGCCACGCCCACCTCCGTCTGGATTTCCAGAACATTCTCTGTATACACTTCTTCCAGGCAAAGAGTCTCAGCTCCATCATAGGTGCTCAGGAAGCGAGACTGAGCTGATATAACGGTCCTCAGCTTGGACATGTACTTCTTACAGGCGGCATCTGGAAGACAGAAGAAGAAACAGAGGCGCTGGGACCATGGTGAAAATGGGCCCTGATGAGGGGTGGGCTGCCTCGAGGAAATGAGATGTGACGCATGTGCAGTGCCCATCCTGGCTGTCCACTCACAAGCCATGGACGTTGAGGTTGGTCATGTAACCTTCCCGAGACTCAGTTTTCCCTTCTGTGGGACAGGAGAAGTGGTGGTCCCTACATTTTACAGGTAGGGACCCAGGTGAAAACTCGTGGATCAATGAAGATAATGTTCTTTGTTCAGTGTCCAACACGAAGTGCTCAAAAGACTTTGCCTAGCACCATTATCGTTACTGACATTGCAAAGAGCTATAGAGAAGATCAGGAGCACCAGGCTGGGATCAGAAGACCTGCATTTTGATGTCTGTCCCACCATGTTGGTTCAGTAGACTTAGACAAGTCCCCTCACCACTCAGTCTCAGCTATTCTTTATAAAGGGAAACAGAAGGCTTAAGGACACAGGAGCTCAGTTTCTGAAGTCAGATACATCTGAGTTTGAAATCTGGGTCTACCATCAACTTGGGCAAGCGTCTCATCCTTTCTGGCTTTAGCATTCTTATCTTTACTGGGAACAATCCACACCTTGCAGGATTGTTTTAGGAAGAAATGAGAAAAAGGAGAGTTTAAAAGAATGATGACATACAGTTAACTCTCACAGAATGGTGTTTATTATCATTATGATTACTGGAAGCAGTAGGCACATCAGTGGCCCCTCTAAGGCACCCACATTTTAATTCACAGCATGTGTGAATATGTTAACTTACTTGCAAAAGGGATTATTAGACAGATGTAATTAAACTGAAGACCTTGAGATGGGAAGCTTATCCTAGTTTATGTGAGTGGAGCCAGCGGTGGATGGTATCTGGGCCACTGGGGCGCCCAGATCAAGGACCTGGACAATATGCCCTAATCAAGATCTACTTCCCCATACTCTTCATACAAACATCTGCAATACAAGTTCTCATGTCTATGATATGTCCACAAGGGTGCTGTTTTTCCTTTTGTTGCTGTTCAGTAACTAAGTTATATCCGACTTTTGGGGACCCCATGCACCGCAACACGCCAGGCTTCCCTGTCCTTCACTATCTCCCAGAGTTTGCTTATAGTCATGTCCATTGAGTTGGTGATGCATTTCATCCTCTGCTGGCCTCTTCGCCTTTTGCCTTCATCATCCTCACATTATACCAACATTAGCAAACCACTCCCAGGGGCAGGGGTTGGTTCTTTTTATAGGAAATTGAGAAGTGATGGTCCAGAGCCCCAGGCGGTAGGACCACAGAGTATCACTGCCTCACTGCCCCCAACCAGGTACTGACCCATTTGTTCTCAACTCAAAAGCTAAAAGGTAATTCTCACAGAGCGCTCTGAACACATTGAAGCTGTATTTATGGTCATTCAAAGGACAGGCCCTGTGATTGTTGTTTCCTCCTCTGTTCCCAAAGCTGACGACGGTCTTTGCCCTTAATGCCAGCTGGATAAACTAGGAGCACTGAATGGAGACTGCAAAATGTATATTTTTTCCTAATACTGTGATTTTCCATGCAGGATTTCCAGCTGCCAACAATGATATCAAGATTCTTCAGGGGAAAAAATTTTAAAAACAAACACATGTCAATTGTCACCTTTGGGAATCTTGCACCATGGCACAGTGTTAACCATGCATGAATAGCCAGCTGAGGTTGATGATACCAACAGCAAACATTAACCAAGGGCTAAGCAGGGTACCATGCTCGGAGCTGTGCATCCCCTATCGTGTACTGATGTCTGCGTTCTGTTCTCAGGTGAGAGGGTGCAGACCCAGATGCCAAGCACAGGCCTCCAGGCATTCTTCCTTCAGTGGGCAGAGCCCGAGGTGATAAATCCATCTGTCAGCACCATGCACAAGTCACGGGGCCTTGATGGTAACGAGCTTTCCTGATGGTAATACGGGAATAAGACACATGAGGCTTTACAACCAATGAGCTCTTCTACCAAGAAAAGAGGAAGTATAGGTGCAGATGGTCCAAAGCCAGATCCATCCTCCCCTACCTCGTCACTCAACCTCCCTGCCCTAGTTTCCACATCTGCAAAGTGGAGGAAACAATACCTACTTCTCAGGGTTGTTGCCAAGGACAGACATTATAAATAAAGCACTTGGCAGGATGCCTGGGATGTTCGGGCTGTGCTATCCGAGCCTCTCCCATTCCTGAGTTGGGTCGGTGACCATGCGAGATGAGAGATATCGCATTATCTAAATCCATTTGGCTCCTAAGTTTCTGATGATGAGTAGCTAAACTGCAGAGATCAAGAGATACCAGCCATCAAAAAGTGTTTCTGTATCTTTCCAATACAAGTAAGGAGAGAAGAGCCAGTAAGAAAGGCCAGTATTAGCCCTCAAGACAAGGCTGCTCCAGTGATCACTCTGCAGGGTAAAAAGAAATAAAAGCAAACCCTAACAGTACACACATTAATCCTCTCAACATCCCAATGAGACAGTGTTGTTGTTGTTATTGTTGTTTAGTCACTAAATCATGTCTAACTCTTTTGCAACCTCATAGACTGTAGCCCACCAGGCTCCCCTGTCCATGGGATTGCCCAGGCAAGAATACTAGAGTAGGTAGCCATTTTTTTCAGGAGATCTTCCCATCCCAGGGATTAAACCTCCATCTCCTGCATTGACAGGTGGATTCTTTACCACTGGGCCACCAGGGATGCCCGCAAACAGTGGTGATGTTACCCTTAAAATGAGACGCTGAGTCTTAGAGAGGTTTACACAGCCAGTAAGTGAGATTCTAGCTGACAAGTCTCATTCTGATGTTTTTTCTCTTCACCATGAATCTGAAAGTCTTCCTTTCCCTTTCTGATAAATGAGAAAAATACATATATACCTTCAAAAGGCAGGGCCAATGGGACCGGTAATTCCTGAATACACTGTAGAAGAAAGGCAGCCAACCCATTCACCTTCACTGTGGCGAGATCAAGGAGCCTTCTTGCCTGTGGGGAAAGCAAAAAGTCATTATTTATCCAGAAAGGCAAATGGAGAGGTGTGAGAATGTCTCTACCACCTATGGCAATGCCATGAGCCTCTCTCTTCCACCACAGTGAAAGGCCAGAAAAACATCTGTGCAATAAGATGCATTTAAAGAAGTCAATGCAGTATCAGGTGGTGAAGTGAACACTTGAACACACATCCAGTGTGGTTCCCTCTTAAGACTCATTGAAAGAGTGAACAACTTAAAAAAAGAAAAAGACATAAATCTATAAACCTACAAGAATGGGAAAAATAATTCTTGGAAGACAGAAATTACTTGAATGAGTAGTGATTTCTCCGAGTCTCTGTAATCCTCACAGGGACTACAGCGCAAGGTACAATGTAGGTTTCACGTGTACTCGTGATAGAGGACCACAACACAGCTGTTCTAAGACACTTGAACGTAAATACTCTGAACACTTTAAAGCAGCCTTGAGCAGGCTTATTCCATCAGTCTCAATCAGCTTTACCCAAACTCACTTGGACACCAAACGCATACTTCAAAAACAGACAAAAATCAAACCTAAAAAGTCCCCTTGACATTTTGAGACCATACACATTCCTTCATTTAGAGCAGTCGCATGGCTCCTCCATCATCTGAAACATTGCCCAAACATCATCAATGATTTTGCTCTTCAGAGATGCTATCAATAAATTACACATGAGAGCTTTCCAAAAGAAGCAAAAACTGATGTGAAATAATTTTTCAAGCAAATGTTTAAAATTCAAATGATAAAGCAGACAACACTGTAAATGAACTATACTCCAATAAATCTTTTATAATAACATTATTACAAAATAAGAAATGAAATAAACCCACTCCATCCTAACACTGCAATGTGTTCTAATTCATTCATTCATTCAATAATTCATTATTTCATCAACAAATATTTCTTGAGTGCCTACTATGTACAAGGTTCACAGCACAATAAGCTTTAAGACAGAAACTGGTACATAGTAGGCATCAAAATAGATTCATATAATTCTAATTAATTAATTAATTAAATTCTAATTAATGAATTCAATTAATTAGTCTGGCCCTCTCATTAACTACTGTGAGCTTTTTTTCACTTTTCTGAGACTCAATTTCCCAGTCCATAAAGTGGGCTGTTAATGACTGTTCCATCTGCATCACTCTTTGGGGGAAAACAAAACAAAGAGCTTCAGAAATACCCCAAAGACATTTTTCTGTTCTTGTGGAATGACATTTTCAGAGGCAGTTATCATAACCCCGAACGTTTATGATCTAACGCAATTTCATATAGAAGTCCTATGTGGGCATTTAAACTACATAAGTACATAGTGTGTTATATTAATTATTAAACACAGATTTAACTTAATAAATTTTTGTGATCTTTTGAGCTGTTAATTTAAAGCAGACAGCACTAAAAGTGAACAAGTACAGAATATCACCAGTGACAGAACTGATAGTAGCAAACAGTAAGCTAATGAGTGCTTGGTGGTGGTTAAGTTGCTAAGTCATGTCCAACTCTTGTGACCCCATGGACTGTAGCCCGCCAGGCTCCTCTGTCCATGGGATTTCTCAGGCAAGAATACTGAATACAGGAATACAAGAATTCCTTCTCCATGATGAGTGCTTACTATGTGCTAGGTAGTGTTCTAAGAGTTATGTAGCTCACCTCATTGAATTCTCCCAAGACCTTACTGATGTTTCCCAGATGAGGAATCTGGGACAGGAGAGATTAGAAATGAGGGTTTCCATAGAGAAATCTGAAGTCACAGGCCTTGAGCCTGCATCATCCTCACTTCAGAATCCAAGATGCTCGCCACCACATAACAGCATCTCGCATCAGAAGTGGCATGATCCCAAAAATCCACAGCAACTTTTATCTCCCCAGCTACCTTTATTTATTTATTTTTATTGATTGATTTTTGCCACACCTTGCAACATGTGGGATCTTGGTTCTCTGACCAGGGATCAAATTTGTGCACCTTGCAGTGGGAACGTGGAGTCTTAACCGCTGGACAGCCAGGAAAGCCTGCTGGCTCCCAGGTGGCACAGTGGTAAAGAATCCGTATGTCAGTGCAGGAGACAAAGGAGACATGGGTTCGATTCTTGGGTTGGGAAGATTCCCTGGAGAAGGAAATGGCAACCCGCTCCAGTATTCCTGCCTGAAAAATCCCACGGACAGAAGAGCCTGGTGGGCTACAGTCCATGGGGTCACAAAGAGTCTGACAAGACTGAGCACGCACGCACACACACACACGCACCTTTAAAGGAGGAGGACTATGACCCACATCTCCCCGCAGGCCTGATTTCACGAACTAGTCTCAATAACTAAGCACACTTTTCCTCTGAATTCTGGTGAGCCAAGGGGGAAGTGCTTACCCGCTGGGATGATGTGAAGATGGGCCGCCTGATTTCATCAGTTTCGTACTGGCTGATGAAACCCCGCTGCTGTGTCAAGTCCAGCACACCCTCCACGTGGCCGTAGAGTCTCCTGACGATGGCTGGTCGGTGACTCTGCAGGTCACGGGCTGGGTGGGGTGAGTGGGGGTCCCAGGAGCTGGGAAGCTCGGGGGGCTGGCTGTCAGCCTGGGCCTCCCTCACAGCTGCAGTCAGTTGTTCACGGCCCCAAGCACCCTTATTCCAGACGGTGTCCAGGAGGCGCCTGGCCAAGTGGGAGATGGGCTGGCCCACGAGGCTGAGCCCCTCATAGTCCTCCCAGGAGAGGACTTCCCGGGAAAGCAGCTGGTCCAGAATGCTCTCAAAGCCCTCCAGGGACCCCGAGACCAGCAACTCCACCAGCTGGCTTCTCTGTGTCTGAAAAGCATCTTGTGCGCACATTTCACAATCTGGGAGGAGAATGAGGTTAGTGCAGGGCTTCTCAGAAAGCAGGCGGAGGGTAGTGGAGAGGGCAAGTCTGCCCCACCCTGAGGCCAAGCCAGCCACGGCTGTACCCTCAGACACTACCAAGGCAAGCTCCCCATTGTACAGATGTGCAAACTGAGGCCCAGAGAAGGCAAACTGGCTCGTGGTCTCACAGAGGGTCTGAAGCAGCCGGGAGTTAAATGAAGGCCCCTGGCTCCCATATCTATGCATCATCCCTGGTTTAACAAGTGTATGACTTCCCTGGTGGTTCAGTGGTTAAGAATCCACCTGCCAACACAAGGGACACAGTTCGAACCCTGGTGCGGGAAGATTCCAAATGCTGCAGGGCAACCAAGCCTGTGTGCCACAATTACTGAGCCCGCACCCTAGAGGCTGCATCCCGCAACTACTGAAGACCGTGTGCCCTAAGTAAAGCCTGTGCTCTGCGACAAGAGAAGCCGCTGCACTGTCAAGCCCATGTGCTGCCATTACAGGATAGCCCCCACTCACTGCAACCAGAGAAACCCCAGAGGCAGTAGTGAAGAATTTTTGGTGCTCTGCCAAAAGTAAATAAAATTTTAAAAAAAATTTAAAAAGGATGCCGTTAATATTAGGAGCAATGTCTCCTGAGGAATCAGGGAGTCATTTCTCAACGAGAGGTCCCTTCTATGCTGGTTGGATTCACGCTACCATAGCTCTCTCTTCAATAATGGCTAATGTTTATTAATTAATCACATATAACGTGTCAGGCACCACCCTAAGTGCTTTTGATTAACCCTCCCAACCACTCTGAATTTGGTACTAGGATCAGCCCCAATTTACAGATGAGGAAACTGAGTCACAGAGAAGCTTGGTGACTTGCACAAGGGTTGAAAGCTAGACAAGGTAGAGCGAGGATCTGAACCCAAGCAGAGCAACTCCAGAAGGCATGCCTTTCATTCCCTTGTATTTGGGTTCCCTACAGAAGCCCGAGCCCAGACCTGTGTACATAACCCACGGCAACCCCCAGGGGCAGACCCAGAACACTGCTGTAAAGACGCCAACCCAGGTGAAGTGAAACTCGTGGTACATTTCAAAGCCTATGGATGCACTGACTCCAGTCTACTGCTCCCCTCCCCAAATGCCCAGGCCCTCCCCTCCCCACCACCACACACCGTGTGCTGTCACCTCTGTCAGTGGCTTCCTCTGGGCTCAGCCTTCAGACTCCGGGTCCTGGGAATCTGCGGGAAGCGATCTCACAGAGTTCCAAGCTCTGGCAGGGTCCCCGTGCGGCAGAGAAAATCTCTCAGCAGGTTCCCTTCTGTGATGGTCACGGAGTCCAGGGATGTGGGCTGGTGCAGTGCCCACAGAAAGTGAAAGTGAAAGGACATAGGCATAGGAACCAAAGAGGAACTCCAGCGTCTGTCTACAAAACAGGGACCTTCCAGGAGACTCACGGGAGCAGACGCCAAGGGGCTTGGAAAGTCTGCCTTTTCCCTATTGGTTCTTTATGTGCCCAACTCCCTTCTTGGCCCAAGCAGAAGCCTGGGTTTTACTCATCCTGGCATCTCTAAGCCTGGCATGGAGCTGGGCCATGGGGAAGTACAGTGGGAATGTTCATGAATCAAAAACCCACTGAGGGAAGGGGTGGGGCTGGAACATTCTGTACCCGTCCTCATATGCCAGCCAAAGGAAGGGAAAGGAGAGATCGCGGCTCAGAATCCTGCCAACACGTAGGCTGGAATTCCTGTGCTGGCCAGATGAGGAAACTGAGGCAGCCAGGTGGCCCACGTGTCTGGCAGCTTCGGGAGCTGTGACTCCCCAGTGCGGAGGCCACTGTAAACCAGAAAGGAACACAGTTCTCTCCGGCCAAGCAGGCCTCCTCCCAGTGCCCAGTGCCAAGCAGAGGCATCCAGAGGGCAGAAGTGGGGAGCGGGGAGGGGAGAGAATAAGACAGGATAGGACAAGCTCTGGGCTTGACGCTGGAGTGGTTCTCAGCTGTGAGAACACCAGCTCCATCACCACACCTGCCCAGATCCTCCGGAAACAGCCCAGAAATGGGGTCAGCACTTCACCTCAGACCCAATGCCTAGAAGACACATGTGCAGCCCGGAATTAAAGAAGCTGAAGAGTTCAGATGAGCTAGGACATTGCCTGCCCCTCTCAACCAGAGGAGGCCTAAGGATGAACAGCGGCTGTCTCCTCTGCATCGGGAGAATCTGGATCACTCAACCCAAGACCCCCAAAGATCATTAGGCTTAGAGTGCATGCTCAGTCGCTTCAGTCATGTCCCACTCTGTGTGACCCTATAGACTGTAGCCCTCCAGGCTCCTCAGTCCATGGCTTACAGTAGGCATGGCCAAGTCCTCTGCAGGTGGGCCTTAAGTGGCACAGGACTAGCAGGTCTTGATTTGCCCATAGACTCCATGTCTTTCCTGGGGAAACCCCCTGCAAGATGGGCAGAGGCCAGAGTTGGCCAAGCAGATGTGAAGAATTACGTAATTCTCAGCAGTTCTGGCACAAAGCCTTCGGCCTCCACCATGCCCTGCACAGAGAGACTCCACCAAGCCCAATGATCTTTGACACACCCAGAAATACGCTCACCCACAAGGGGACGAGCTACAGCTAAGCCGGGGCCCTCCGCAAGCACTCCAAGTCTGGGTCAGCCGACAGATGCTTGAGGCACGCATATCAGACTTGTGATGTCAGGGTACCCAGAGAAGGAGGCAGGCCCTAGCCAGAATGTTTGGCAGTCTGTCCTCCCACCAAGAGCTGGAAAGTCCCATCTCTGTCCTAGCCTTCTTCCAGAAACCTCAGAGCTGGGAGAATCTCCAAGAATCAATCTTGCCAGCACTCTGTGTCTAAGAAGGCATTGTCCTTTCTCATCCTAAACATCCAGGGCAAAAGACCTGGCCCGTTGCTGTCTTCACTAACCAGTACAGGAAGTTCCTCATCATGTCTAACCACAGTTTTTCCTGCTTCAGTTTAAACTGTGAACGATAGAAAACAGATGTCCACTCAACACCTATTTCATAAAAACTGTCCCTAAAATCCTACCTCTTGCCCCTTTATTCCCTGCCCAGACTTCCCTTCTTCAGACTAAATCAATCAGCCTCTCTCCATTACCTCTTCTTCTCCACTTCAGTTACTGCAATTTCGAGGTCATTATAGTCTTTTCTCAAGGAAGGTACAGTCTCTGCAAAGAAAGGGGCCCTTCCTTGCTGAAACAGAGGGTCAAATGGAAGGGGCAACCCACACGGGGCCTCTGCTTATCCCCAAGCCGAGGGCAAGCCCTGACCCCTCCTTCCTTCCTGAGACACAGCCAGTCTGGTTTCTCTGGAGCCCTGAGACATTTGATTTGCCTAAGTGCTGCAATCTCAGCCTGCTGGAGAGCTGCAGATAGGAAAGAGAGGGAGGCCCCAGAAGTTCAACTTCTGAGCTGTCCAGCCCTCATCAGGGGCCACGCCTCCCCCGGGACACTGGACCTGTGGCCCCCCCACGTACTGCAGCATGCCCCATTCTTGCCCCCTTCACCAAGCTTCTCACCGGGAGAGCTGTTCTCGGCAGCACATGCACATAGTGTAATTTCTCCACCTAACCCCGTTTCTCTGCCCCCTTCGCAGCAGGACTCCAGAGCTGCTGTCGGTACTGCTCTCCTCAAGTTCTCCCCTCCTGTCCCCTTTGGTCTCTAGCTGCTTTTGCCATGGTCACTGGTGACCTTCAGGTTGCTGGATTCTCAACGGTCACATGCTTGCTCTGCCAAAGGCATTCGTCATCATCACTCCCTCTCTTCTCCCTGAAGCATCTTCTGTGTTCCCTCCAGAAAACCCCCACTCTCTGATTTCTCCTCCCATCTCATTGGCTGTTCTTTTGTCTCCTTGGCTAATTCCTGAAGCTGTGAGCCAAAGAACTCCCTGGTGGGACCATTTTTCTCTGAATGACTCTCTCCCTAAGTGAGCTTGTGGCTTTAAATACCAGGTATCTGGTGATGATGCTCTAAATTTCATTTCCAGCTCCCCACTAAGTTTTTCCAGCTGCCTAATGGTATGTCCAATGGGCATCTCAAACTTCACAAGCACAGAACCAAACTCCAGAACTTCCCCCCTAAATAGGTCCCATTTCAGTCTATGAAAAAGTAAAGAAAGTGTTAGTCACTCAGTCGTGTCTGACTGACTCTTTGCGACCCCATGAACTATAGCCTGCCAGGTTCCTCTGTCCATGGAATTCTCCAGGCAAGGATACTGGAGTGGGTAGCCATTCCCTTCTCCAGGGGATCTTCCTGACCCAGGGATTTAACCTGGGTCTCCCGCATTGTGTTTCCAGGGAAACCCTATTTCAGTCTATGCTCAGCCCCCAAACCTTCCAGCCACCTTAGACTCCTCCTTTCTCTCAAATCCCAAATTCTATTGCCCCCTACCTTCAAATATATCCAAAATCTGAAAGTCTGATATTTTTCAAAACTTTTCGGCCATGGGGACAAGCCCCCCATGGTCTCTCCCCAGAATGATAACAGTGGTCCCCTCAATGGTCTCCCTACCTTTCTGCCTTCACCTCTCTATAGCCTCTCTCCTGCCCACAGCCAGATGAACCTGCTAATCCCTAAATCAGAGCAGGTGATGCTCTGCACAAAGACCTCCAGTGGTTCCCAGTGTACTCAGAGTGAAAACCAAAACCCTCAAGGTGGCCTTCAAGACCCCACCCTATGGAAGGATCCCCACCTCCCCACCCCTTACCTCTCTGCATTCATTTCCTACTCACTTCACTGGCTCCTCACCTACCCTGCTCCAGCCACACTGACCTTGTTCCTAGAACAAGCCAGACCTGCTTCCACCTGTCATACTTCTGCCCCAGAGCCTTTGCATATGCTCTTCCTTCTGTGGGCACACTGTCCTTTCCCCCAGTTATTCACATAGCTTCCCCCTCACCTCCTGTAAGGCTTTGCTCAGTTGTCACTCTCTCAGAGAGGCCCTCCCTGACTAAGCTGTATAAAACCACAATGCATGTGTGCTGAGTTGCGTCCGACTCTTTGCGACCCTATGGGCTGTAGCCTGCCAGCTCCTCTGTCCATGGGATTCTCCAGACAAGAATACTGGAGTGGGTTGCCGTGCCCTCCTCCAGGGGATCTTCCTGGAGACCCACGTCTCCTGCATTGGCAAGTGAGTTCTTTACCGCTGGCCCCATACCTCATGCCTCTTGCCTGCTTTCTTTCTCTCTATGGCTCTTCCAACTACCTGACATGTCATGTATTTACGTGTCATGTACATGTCATGTATTGACTGCTGTCCAACTCCTTTCCAGAAAATGAACCCCATGAGGGCAGGGAATTTTATCTGATGTTTTCTATGCTGTACCCCCAGTGTCTCATCCAGTGAACTGATCAAGACTGTGTGAACGAATAAAAAAAAAAAAAATGGATTTCCTCTGCATGGTTCTAGGAGGCAGAAGTAGAGCCAAGGGGTGGAATCTGCAAGCCACAGGTTTTTGACTAAATGAAGCCAGAACTGCAGGACGCTGAACAGCGTTTCGTAAGTAATGAGCTCCTCAACACTGAGCATATGTAGCGGAGGGATCATGCAGTGGGTGGGAGGTTAGCAGGCTAGATGGGGTCCCTTCCAGCCTCAGATCTCAGAATGCTGACTGGTGAAGGGGATCTGAGCAACCAGTCAACTTAGGAGCAGTGATTAGGAGAGTGAAGCAACAGGAATGTCACTCTGGTCTTCACCAACGGGGTCTTCTCCCCTCTAGGGAACAAGGACCCTGTGCCCAGAGAACAGCCTGTGCGGAGATGGAGCCCACCACTGGGAGAAGCCCAAGAGCTCAAAAAAAGAGGGAGAGAAGCAAGAACAGACTGGGAGCCAAGGGTTCAGCTGGGGGAGCCCTCCTGGAGGAGATGGAGGAGGCGTTTGAGTTTGTTGCAAAGCAAGGAGGACCAGATGGCTGTTCCTCAACAGGAGAAAACGAGAGGATGAACAGAACAAAAGATGTGGCGCTGGCAGGCCCGGTGTGGGTGGGTCTGGGCAGAGATAGGATTGGGGATGGGCAGGGGTCTCTACACCCACCAGTGGGGAGGTGGAGTTAGGAGACTCCCACGACAGTTACCAGGCCACAGGCATGATTAGAGAGCATCCGGGCACTCTCATTTATACCCATCCACTCACAAGCAAGGTGAAATTGGGGAAACTGAGGGAGAGAGGAGGAGGCTGGACAGAAAATAGCTCCCGCTCAGAAACCTGAAGCCTGGCCGGCCGGCGCCTCACAACTTCATCGTGGACGTGGGCGTTCTCCCTACACACAACTTCGACCCCCAAATCACACCTCTCTATAGAACTCAGAGGCTTCGGGAAGGAAGTTCCGCTCACGCCGCTCCCCCTCTCGCCTTCTCATGTTTGTAGTCACAGCCCGCCAGGAGGCTCCCCAAACCTCCAGATTCCAGACGGCCGCTTTCCTTCTAGATCTCAAGACTCCCGAAGGGGAAACCGAGGCAGCTTCATCGCGACCCTGGCGGCCTGGACGGCAGTCAGGTGTCCCAATCCCGGGAGCGGGACCCCGCGGCGCCCGCCGTCCCTTGCCCTGGGCTCGGGAGCACTCACCCCTGGCAACCGGGTTCCTCGGTGCAGCTTGAATCTCCACTCTCCCGCTCCGCACGGGCGAGACTAGGCTGAGCTGGCGTTCGGCCCCGCCCCACCCTGGACACGCCCCTTCTCGACCACGCCCCCGACTTGCCCCGCCCGCTCTACCCGGCAGCCCCACCGCTCCGGCCCTGTCCCCCACCTCCTGGGAGTCAGAGGGACCCTGGGCGGCCTGAGCTCATAGGGCACACACATACATAGGCAAAGATATACTATGAATTGAAAAGCTAGGTAAGCTGTTGGGGTCAGTATTACCTGCCCCCGCTTTGAGGGTCAGTAAGTCAATAGTCGTCTTGTTTTTTTTCAGTCGCTCAGTGGTGTCCAACTCTTTGCCACCCCTTGGACTGCAGCACGCCAGGCTTCCCTGACTTTCACCATCTCCTGGATCTTGCTCAAATTCATGTCCATCAAGTCGGTGATGCCATCCAACCATCTCATCCTCTGTCCTACCCTTCTCCTCCTGCCTTCAATCTTTCCCAGCATCAGGGTCTTTATAATTAATCGAGTCTTCGCATCAGGTGGCCAAAATATTGGAGTTTCAGCCTCAGCCTCAGTCCTTCCAGTGAATATTCAGGACTGATCTCCTTTAGGATGGACTGATTGGATGTCCTTGCTGTCCAAGGGACTCTCAAGAGTCTTCTCCAACACCACAGTTCAAAAGCATCAATACTTCAGCTCAGCCTTCTTTATGGTCCAATTCTCATATCCATACAAGACTACTGGAAAAACCATAGCTTTGACTACATGGACCTTTATTGGAAAAGTAATGTCTCTGCTTTTTAATTTGCTGTCTAGGTTTGTCATAGCTTTTCTTCCAAGGAGCAAGTGTCTTTTAGTTTAATGGCTCCAGTCACTGTCCACAGTGATTTTGGAGCCCAAGAAAATAAAGTCTGTCACTGTTTCCATTGTTTCCCCATCTATTTGCCATGAAGTGATGGGACCGGATGCCATGATCTTAGTTTTCTGAATGTTGAGTTTTAAGCCAGCTTTTTCACTCTCCTCTTTCACCTTCATCAAGAGGCTCTTTAGTTCCTCTTTGCTTTCTGCACTAAGGGTGGTGTCATCTGCCCATCTGAGGTTTAGTCATCTAAAGCCTTCCTATTGTGAAGTCCCAGGACAGAGTTCTCTCAAGTATGATGGTTACATGTTAGGTAACAGTGAACAGGGCATTTAAACTTCCTCTTTTTACATTTTTCCTTCAATTCTCCCAAGTTGAGGCAAACCATCTCAGTTTAGTAATAACAGGGCTTAAACACCTCTCTAACACTGCCTAGTTGAGTTGGCTCTGTGACATTACCTAACTAAAATTTATCAGAACTCTTTTTTACATTAAATTTATTTTATTTTATGATTTCTTATTTCTGGAAGTAATTGCTGCTTTTTCATTGAATGTATTGCTTCACCCTGGTGGCTCAATGGCAAAGAACTTGCCTGGCAGTGAAGGAGATGTGGGTTCAATCCCTGGGTCAGGAAGATCCCTTAGAGAAGGAAATAACAACCCACTCCAGTATTCTTGCCAGAGAAATCCCATGGACAGAGTAGCCTGGCCAGCTACGGTCCACGGAGTCAGAAAAGAATTGGACATGACTTAGGGACTAAACAACAATAATAATTAGTATAAACGGTCCCTTTAAAACATTTGTACTTGGAAATTTTTAAATGTGAAGTCAATTTCAAGAGAAAACAAACTGACACTGACATAGTGCTTTACAGACATTGAGTTAATCCTACCTATAGGATATTGGCTCAGTTCAGTTCAGTCGCTCGTGTCCAACTCTTTGTGACCCCACGGACTGCAGCACCCCGGGCTGTCCTGTCCATCACCAACTCCCAGAGTTTACTCAAATTCATGTCCATCGAGTCGGTGATGCCATCCAACCATCTCATCCTCTGTCCTCCCCTTCTCCTCCTGCCTTCAATCTTTCCCAGCATCAGGGTATTTTCCAGTGAGTTGGGTCTTCATACCAGGTAGCCAAAGTATTGGAGTTTCAGCTTCATCATCAGTCCTTCCAGTGAATATTCAGGGATGATTTCCTTTAGGATGGACTTGATGGATGTCCTTGCTGTCCAAGGGACTCTCAAGAGTCTTCTCCAACACCACAGTTCAAAAGCATCAATTCTTCAGCACTCAGCTTTCTTTATAGTCCAACCCTCACATCCATATGACTACTGGAAAGACCATAGCCTTGACTAGACGGACCTTTGTTGGCAAAGTAATGTCTCTGCTTTTTAATATGCTGTCTAGGTTGGTCATAACTTTCCTTCCAAGGAGTAAGCGTCTTTTAATTTCATGGCTGCAGTCACCATCTGCAGTGATTTTGGAGCCCAAAAAAATAAAGTCTGACACTGTTTCCACTGTTTCCCCATCTATTTCCCATGAAGTGATGGGACCAGATGCCATGATCTTAGTTTTCTGAATGCTGAGTTTTAAGCCAACCTTTTCACTCTCCTCTTTCACTTTCATCAAGGGGCTCTTTAGTTCTTCTTCACTTTCTGCCATAAGGGTGGTGTCGTCTGCATATCTGAGCTTAT